CAAGTTTTCTGCCCATGATGACAAGGAACGGTAATTATGTACTAAAAGTGTCATTTTCTGCGTGTAAAATAAACAAAGGGCAGTCAGAGGGCTGCAGCAGTGTGCAGCCTCTCGGAAACAACGACGGGCTACAATTACACGAGCTAAAACGTGGACAAAGTTGAAAACCTGAAAATGATTAACTTTGTACTACTTAGTTTTACTTTTTTTTGTTGTTGTTTTTTTTACCTAATAACATGATTTCCAACTTCTTACGGTCCACCCGAAACCTCTCCTCAGTCCACTCCGGATCTGGCAGCGGATGGGGTCCGCTCAGATCCTCCTCTGATCCCGGGAGAGGAGAGTCGGTGCTGCGCTCGCTGTTGGAGCCGTGGTCCGACTGCTGCAAGTATCCGCTTAAAGTGTCGCACTGGGCAGCCATTGCGCTGCGCAGCAACTTCTCCAGCGGCCACTGCGTTTTTTTTTTTTTTAATTCAAAGTAAAGTTGAGCCGAAGCGAAGCGATGAACTTTTAAAATCCGTTACTTCGCGGTGTTGTGCGAGCTCATTGCAGCACAGTTGACAACCTTCCTCTGCAGTTTCCTCAAGCCCCTGCGCTTTCCCCCATTAGGCACACTTCTAAAAATAGGCAGCAGCAGCGGCACGATGGGTCCACTCGCTATAGGTTGACTGTGGAGTTAACGGAGCGGCGCACAGCACACAGCAAACATACCAACCAAGTCCTCGGGAAAGTTTCACGTGTCATCCTACCCCAAAAAAAAAAAACACACAGAAGAAGCAGGACTCCTCCCAGAAAAACTTTTTTGAGCATCTACCTCCCCCTGGATTCCTGCTAAGTATTTGTGAGAAATTCACTGGATTCAATGTGTGTGTGGACTGTGGAGTGCACTTTTATGTCTCATTTACGTGAAACTGTTGAGGGATTATAGTCAGTTACAGAAAACAAAATCACCATGATTGTTATGAGCTAAAAACTATATAATATAGTCAATTTAAAACTCATGGATATGGAAATAAAGTCACTGTAAATGATTACAGAGGCAGGCTTGACGTGAGTATTTCTTTTCAGTCAGGCTGGGACTTTATAATAACACCACATGCAACCAATTTATTGGTTTATAGAGGAAACACTACACATCCTGAGAGTGGGTTAAAGGGAAGCAATACAGGAAAAAGGAAACCAAACAAACGTGGAGCAAGCCGTACATTAAGTAAAACAGACAAAAAGAGGCAAACAAAAGTGCTGTAGTATGTGCTGGTACCGAATACGGTAATGCAGAACCAGAAGGTGTGATAAAGGTCACTAAACTCAGTAATGTATACAGCAGAAAGTTTTAAAGTCCCATAGTTCTGGTCTGTTATCCTGGCTGTGGCCAGGAAATGATTAATGAGAGTTTCCAGTGGTGTATGGCCTTGTTAAGAGAAGTTTTACATTTGTTAAATTTACATTTTCATGGGTTTAGCTTAAATTGCTTCTGTAGACACTTCTCTACGTTTTTAGCTTACTTTTTACTTATTAACTATTATGTTCTGCTTTATTTGTGATTTTGTCAGAAACCTGCTCAGTCAGTGATGTTCTCTATCATCATTGTTATTCTTCATATTTAAATAAACTCATGTCTCACTTGTTAACTAATGACTTCGGACTTCAGATAACCCCACATCGACAACTTTATTCTGACCGCTGGAGCTTTAATCACAAAGCAAAATAAGCACAGTCCTGCAGTACAACAGATTTCTCTTTTGCTCATTTAGAGTAAAAACTTCCATAATCTAGGATTAAAGATGGAGATTCAGTGTACCTGACAAATTGTTTTTAATCTTGACAATAACATTCACTGCATTCAGTTGGGCAAATTATTTAAAATGGTTCATTTCAATTTTTAGGAATGTTCTGGCAGGTCACAAGAGTTGAGAATCTGAGGGTATAGTCCTCGCTAAACCCACTAGTCTGGTTAAATCACATCAACATAGCACAGTGGAGATTAAATATCAGTGAGCTGCTCAATTAATGTGTACACTAGCTTCACCAGTGTACAGCACCTGTTCTGCAACCAGCAGAGGTGATGATAATGGGTGGTCTAATTTCAATGAACAGAACATCCCTTCTCATTTACATTTAATAATAGCCAATATCAACATTAATAACCATTCACCAAAATGGATTAATAACACAAACATGAATATTAAGTTGTCCAAGGGAGAAACTGCCTCATTTAAAAGGCTTGGGAGGTGAAAAGTAAAGGCTACCACCTAGTGGCCATGTGAATAATAGAATAAGGGGCAAATGATTTGTTGGATACAAGAATGTACTGCATACAAAGGCAAACATTTCATAGCAAGATAGTTCAGAATTTCAGTTTACTCGTGTGCATGGCAAGAAACAATTTACAATTCACTTTCTGATTAATGTTTTTAATGCAAAATGATGAAAAATAAATTCAGTATAGTCTTGTACAATCTATTAAAAGAAAAATACAATCAGGCCATCTCACCACAACTAATAATGATAATAAAAATAATAATAATAATGCCAATTTAAGGGGAAAATAAAATAAAACAGTAAAAACAGGTAAGTCAAGTAAAGTCCGAGTAGAGAAAGTGCCTCAAGCGAATAAAACACCTCAACTAGAACCAGTGTGGATGAGCAGTTGAAACAGTACTGTCATATTTTGAGGTGTTCAGGGATGCATCATTGTTTCTGAACCTTCTGTCGTTCACATTGCATACCTCTGAGTCCATTCTCTGGCTAGTTTGTTGTACCTAAAGAGAAAAGAGAATCAGAACAGGTTTCTAAAGAATAGTTGACAGATAGAAGCTATTCCATATGCCAAAATCTTTGGCTTCCATACTCACTTTTGTCTGTCTGATTTGTAGATGTGTGCAATGTCTGGGACTAGCGGGTCATCTGGATTTGGGTCACATAGCAACGAGCATATGGATAATAAAACTGGAAAAAAAAGAGGACCAAAAATCAGTATGGACATAAGTTTTATTTAAATTAAAAAACTACTTTTTCTAATTATTGTTTCATTTCATTTTCCAGAGACCAATTTAAAAACCATTGACAAGCTTTGATTCCAGACACCTTTTAATCAAAACTGTTTAAGCCCTGGGGAAAAAAGGTGTATTTTTAGGCACTACTTTCATTACACATATCTGAACATCCCCCCGCTTGGTCCTCCAATTAGACAGTACAAAACCTGCTTTTTCACCATTTTCAAAAGTGACAAAAGTACACTGGGCGTAGAAGGTCATTTTTGGATAATCAGACCTGAAAATCCTGTTACCTGTGTTCACTGAGGCTGGAAATCATTCAGTTGGAAGAATCCAGATTTGGTAACAGCACAGTGGATTGTTTCAGCAAAGGGGCTTTATTGCCTTCTAATGTTTGCTATAATGCAACTTACCTATCTTTGGCATTCCTTCCCCACATTTTGTTTTGCCCCAACATCCTTATTCACCCATAAGTATGTCAAACCACATGAAACAAATCTCAGTTTCCTTGTGACTTTAAAGTAAATCTTAGTTACTACAAACTGCAATGTACCATACTGTGCAAAATGTAGATGTTAGTTACCTTTTGATACTGTAAGAGCAGGTGACCACTGTGACCTCAAGATGTCAAGGCAGATGCTACCATTGCTGTTTATGTTTGGGTGATAGATTTTCGTTGTAAAGGCAACCTATAAAAACAACAAACAAAGCAGCAATAGGTCAAATGACATGTTTCTCTGTCAACAGACAGATTCTGAGTAGAGATGCATCTATGATTCATTATCAATTAATGTCCTCTATAAAATGTAAAGAAATAGTGAAACATGGCTGTTAAAGATAAATAATCTTACCTTTGGTGGTTTAAAGGGATAGTCAGTGGGAAAATGGACAGAAAGGAAAAATACTCCTCCATGATAAGGGCTGTCGTTCTGAAATAGAGGGGTAAATGATTGTCAAATTATGCCTAGCCTTGTAGTACTGGGATAAAATACTAATATTAATTATTTTCCTTTCTTTTGTTTGTATAAGATTTCCTTTGTTTAAATGAAGACATTATGTTATTGCCCCTTTCCCTATTGTCTCAGTAATGCCATGGGCTTCAGTGAGGAACATTGGGATAGAGTGTGCCAGTCTGTGCTCTCCATACAGAAGAGAAAGGGCTGTAAAGTCAACATAAAACACTATTGTCTAGACATCCAGAAGCAGCTTGGTTTAAAAAAAATCCAGGAAACTAATCCAGAAAAAGCTCACCGGTCCCGTGATGGTAGCTTGCCAGTGGAACACTAAAAAGGAAACAAAGATTGAGAAACAATCTGTGAGAACAATATTTAGGATCACGGTGCATACATTGCAACACAGGCCCAACAATGTTGGTAACGGTGGCATGATTACAGGATTAAAAATGTATATATATATATATCATTTATATACATGTCATACGGTATTGTCACACTTACAGTCCTCCCCTACAGGTCCAGCTGAACATGAAGCTGGAGGGTCCCTCTGTAAGTCATTTAACTCCTGTACAAACAAACAAACAAACAACAATTGCACGGTTAGGTCGCTTCCGCAATGTAACATTAGTGCACTGCTTGAGGAAGGATATTTAGCTAACTATGACAACCAAGTGTAACTAACTAACTAACTAACTAACTAACTAACTAACGTCAGCAAACCACTAACTGAAACCCCGGGATATTAAAAGTAGACAGAGAGACATGTTGAAGTGCTTTCACAATGCTCGTTGTGCTAGGCCAACTTTAGCTGGCAGCGAAGTTAGCTCATTTAAGTTTCACTGCTTCGCTAAGCTAACTGGCTGCTCTGTGGTGTCATCGTCATTGGCACGAACAACGGGCTCGCCGGCAGTAAAATCAGTCTTGTGAATTAATTATCTTGCGTTAACACATTTTCTAAACGTTTGTACAACACTCAACCACGTTAGGTTGGCAAAGAAATGCTATTAAGATGACTGTGACAAACGTTAGCTAACGTTACTGCGGCGCTTCCGCATCGCTCCAACCTTTTTCTGTACATTAAATAAATGAAGAAAAGACGAATAGTCTTACCTTCTGTATTCTTTTCAACGCCATGGCAGGTCTTTCAGATAGGTTAGGAGAAGCTACGGTGTTAACTTTGACAGCTGTCAGCCACAACTGCGCTTACTTTCTGCCGACTCGGTGTTATTTGTTTTGACAAACTGATTATTTCTTTTGTTTCCGCGTTTTTGTTCGACGACGAAGAATAGACCGGTGCATTGTGGGAATTTGAGTTTTCAGTGAAGCCACTTAAAGGGACCGTTCACCGACATATTATGGGCACAGTTCATCCTGTGAAAACCACTCTGTTATGAACTTTTTGAAGTAGTAAAGTAAAGTAAAAATGTAAAATAACACGTTATATTTCCATATGCCATAAGACTGATGAACACTATATAACCATTCAAACACCTACTCAGGACATAGCCCATCTTATATTTTATCTTTGTTTATATTTTATATGCGATTAATTTTTATCTAGTCTTTTATATACAAACAAGATATTATTATCGCATTTTTCTTATTTTGTATTTAAATACAAAAGTCTCTTTTACACAGGCAACTTAAATTGTGATAAATATTATCATTATCTACCGTGTTTTTTAATATAAAAGTTTATATTATCTGCCATATCCTATTTTTTGACTGATAACGATACAAATGCCTTCTCCATCTACTTCCAACATACTGCCTCTCCTCTATTCCTGTTGTGCTATGTGTCATTGTAACGTAATTTCATTTTGATGCAAATCCAAATGAAAAATAAAGTCTAAGTCTAAGTCTATAAAAAGAAAGTAGGACTAATAGGATAGGGTGCTGTATTGTTACATCCAAACCGTTATTATAGTATAAATATAGCTACCCAAGGGTATCTTAGTCTCTCCTTTCCAAATATGTAAATGTATGTTGCATTGTATACTATCACAGCAGTTTAGTCATCATCAAACATCTTAAAACTGTGCATTACAGTTGACTCTGACATTTTTTTCCTGCAAAGCTATTGTATTTTAAAAGTGAGCCATTAGGTAACAAGGATACATTCAAATCAAAGCTTGAGGTGTGTGGTATGTAGTCTATAAGCCTGGCCTGAATTGGCTGAATATGGACTTGTCTATAGCCCTGTGTTCATTGCATTTACAGACAGTGGCATTCTGTTGCATTAATTGCCCTATAACGTCACTCTTATGACTGATGACTTACCTTTGAGGAACATATGGTGTTTGGATTTGAAAGACCTGACTAAGATGTAAGCGTCACTAATTACATATTGATATTTTGGCACTCTGGTGATTAGCCATACAGTAAAATGTCGAATAACTTGACCTAATGATGCTTTAAGGGAAATGTTCTTTCTGGTGAATAATGAGGGGTCAGGGTGAGGGAAGATGGATAGGCATGGCATCATCATTATAAATGACCAGAATATGGGTATATAAAAACAAGGCAAAGCAAGTTTATTTGTATTTCACTTTTCCAATACAGAGGCAAAAACAACACTTAAATCATAATTAAATGAATGCTAAAATGTGTTCAAATAGAATGAAACACACAGTTCAGTTGTAGTACAATAATAGTGCAGAACAGTAATAAATGTGTCTAAATGTATTAAGGGGAATAAAAGTGCAGCAGAAAATATACAGTATTTAATCAAAGGTGAAGGATAATAAGGAAGTCTTAAATTCAGAGTTTAAAGTAGCTAAAGTTAAATCCATTCTGTGTGCAGCATAGTAGTTTAATCCAACATGGTGTTTGGTTTTGACTCGAGGCACTTCTAGCTGACTGCTTCCTAAAGATCTAAGGGGCCTACTGGATTTATATTCTTGAAGCATATCAGAAATGTATTTTGGCCCTAAGCCATTAAGTGATTTCTAAACTAAGACCAGCATTTTAAAATCTGTTCTCTAACTAACTAAAAGACATAAGAATGGGTTTTGCAGCAGCATCCTGAAAGAGGTTTGCAGAGATCTAGTGGGCAGTTAGAAAAGCAAACAAGCAGCCGCTGTTGATGAACAAGTTTCCTTAAATATTCTTTGGACATAAAACTAATATTAGATTATAAAAATGTTGATGCACTTCTTGCATTGATTTGGCTACTGAAGCTTACATCTGATTCCATTATGGCACTAATATTTAACTTTAGTCTTGTGGTCCAGCTGCAGCCATGAACTAAGAATATAGTAACATTTAGGATTATAGGATTTGGCCTAAAGGTACAATATAAAAGGGTTAAATGATAACGACCCAATAATTGAACTCTGGGTGAATCTGCACTTCATAGTGATTGATTCAGATTCATGACTGCATATATCAACAACACAGCCCCAGTCCTATATACAACCTAAACCGACTGAAGACTGTGTAGCAGGCAGCCAGACCCCATTTTCCTGTCAATCTAGAAGTCTATTATGGCCACTGGTATCAAAGGCTGCATTAGTTTCACCAATCACATCTACTTTATCTACTTTATCAGTGCAGTCTTAAACAAGCCAGAATTAAAAATGTCAAGAAAATCAATTTACAATTGCAACATTGTTGAGGGGTGAATAAAAGGAACTCTTAATAATTTCAACTACACTTAAGATTTAAGTGTAATTAGTATGGGAGCATCTAGATTGCATGTGTTTCAGGAGGCATCAAGTGACTTTGGGTTAGGGTTAAACATTTCCTGATTGATGTGGCCCATTTGCAGCACATCCGGTTTAAAAAAAAACAGACAGATAACATAACAGATGATGAGGAAACAAGGAAAAATAATGCAACGGTAGGATGAAACATGGACATCAGTTGACTCAGTATCCCCAAGGGCTGTAACATCTACTGCTGTTATCTTTATAAAGTGGTTGTAAACACATTCATGATGGTTATATACATTGTTATAATTCTGTTGGGACTTAATGTTTAAGCTCCATAGAGCATAACTCATGAGAGAGCAAAGGGGAAGATAGATAAACATACAGACACATACAGTACATAGGTAGAAGGGGCACATCTGTCATCTTTCACGCCTGGACTGATGCATACCTCAAAGTCACAGATTGCAGCAAATTAAGAGATTTCTTTTTATTCATTCATTTGTGCAGCATGCATTGAAACACAGACACACGCGGCTAATTTAGGACATTTTTTTAGATATGCAATCATTGTCTGACACAGTTTCCTGGAAATTGGTAAAAAAAAAAAAAAACAGTGCTGGATTTAAGTGAAATAGCTTAATGTATATAATATTATGCAGGTGAAAAATAAATTTCCTGCTCTTGCATATGAGGATTTATTTCATCAGATAAATGCTAGTCTGGTTTATTCCAGTAATTTCTCCTTTTATTTCACATCTACATTACATGCATCTTTTTCTTAGGCATTTTAATGAAGGAAGCTAATCATTGAAAATATAGGCACAACAACTGCACCTCAGTGTTTATGTTAAACAACAAGCAAGAAAAAGAGACAGGACTGCTCTAATGAGAGTGACCTCATACACAAACTATCGTGTGACATGCAGTTTTCAACCAGATGCTCATATTGCCCCAGGGTGTCACTCTGTCTCCAAAGGTTGGCACCTCACTGACTGTCATGGCACACCAGGTTTCCATTAATACACCATAAGAAGAGCTTTGACTCCGGAAAGATCTGGAAATTAGACCTCACATTACAGAACTGAGGCACATATTATGATCCTGTTTGTATCCGTATTTACAAAATTAGAACTAGGATACCACAATGTCAAAAATACTCTATTGAAGGACTGTAAGTATTATCAGCAAAATGTACTTAAAGTATAAATGTAAAAGTATCACTATGCAGGCAAAATTAGGCAGGTCAGTGGCTAATAGCATTCTCATGTAAGCGGCTGTAGGGGAGATAACTTGGGTTCTTTAACTGGCTGCATTGTATACTACATGTTCATTGTAGGTTTTTGTACTAGAGATGTAAAGAAACAAATTTACAAATTTAAATATTAACTTACTCCTACTACGTAGTTCAACTGCAGCCATGGCACTGTCTGGCATAGGCTACATGCAAAAATACATTTTCTTCTCCTGGCTCAGAAAATATGAAAAATCTTGGTCCCTTCTTGACCTCTGGCAGGCCTAAAGATTGTTAAAATATGAATACACTCGACCTTGCTTTCACAACCAACATATCACTGGTGGTGCATATAGCAGTGCAATTTGAGCAAAAAAAAAAAAAAGAAAGACAAAAAAAAAGAAGAAGCTCTATGTCTCCAAAACGGGTTGTAATTTATTCCTCACCACGCGATTGGTCATGGATCGATGCGCGTTCACGGCGCTCCGAGGTGGCGCGCCCCTGCTTCTGAGCATCGTTTGGGGAGAAGAGGAGGAGAGGAGAGATAGAGACAGGGTTGCTGTACCACACCAAGTGTCCACCGAATGTCTGCCTCTTCACATTGCCAATGAATAATCCTCGCATTCCTATGTCTGCCAGTTGACACACTGAACGCGAAGGACCAGGCTTCCACCTCTGCAAGGATTCAGGAGTCCTATAGCGGGCTGCGCGTTTTTTCAGGTAAGCCCCCCCCTCTCCTTCTCCTCCTCCGGTGACCGATGTCGCTGTGTTTGTCTGTGTATTTACGCGCTTGTTCGTGATTAAAAGGAGAGGGACGATAACGGGCGCGGGCGGTTTTTTTGTACTGTAGCTGTCCAAGGTGCTGAAGCGGACTGAGGCTTGTGGTAAGAAAAGCTCAGTATGTAGTAGAGCTAACGTCCTCATGTGAAGAGCAGGTTACATGACTTCGCTGTTTGCATGCTATGGGCTATTTAGTGTTGCAGACTAAACCTCCCAAAGATGTCGTGTGGGTGTCGTAAGGGGGAGAAAGACTGATGGAGCTGTAACGTGCCTACGATATCCCTTACATCTGCACAGCCTAGCACGTTCCGACTATGGCTGCTCTACCCGAATGGATGTATCTAAGCTGCATTGTAGAGTAGCCTACCTCCTCCGGGGACGGTGTGTTGTTTTACTGCATTTACCGTTGTCAGGGGGTCCGGGTCTTCATCTCACCTTATCTTGCCATTTGCAATCTTAGGATGTACAGTAGGATTGCTGCTGGATCCCCTGATGTCAACAAACAGTAAAATGTTTTCTTCGTTTCAGACACTGATTTCTGTGCACAATGAATTCATCTGAGAATAGAATGATAGTAGTCCTACATGGTGCCAATCATTGCTTTTCAAGTTGAACTTTCGCCCTGTTCAGGGGGATTTATACTGTACCAGCAGCCATGCCTTGTGCAAAATCAGACTGCTTTTTAAAAAAAATGTCCTTGTCAAGACCTTGTGAAATGTGAACACTTAGGAAAATAGGAGCTCTGCACATCTGTCCACAAGTTATGTAAATCGTTCTTTTCTTGGCAAGGTAAGGGCATGTCACATTCAGGCATTGTTGTTGTCCATTGTTCTTCTGATGTACCAAAACATTCATTCTGTCCACAACAGGAGCACCTGACATTTCCTGTGGCAGATTTACTTACTGGATCATGGCACAGACCAACAGCGGTGTGCAGGGGACCAACGGGGTAGCGGATGAGTCCCCCAACATGATAGTGTACAGAAAGGTAAGGCAGCTGCTATTTTTAGCCTGCACGTGTGTGCGTGTGTGTATGAGTTTGAGTGTGTGTAACTCTCTCTTGCATCAATTTACTTGATGATGAGCAGTGCAATGGAAATTGCTAATACTAATGGCAAGACAGTGTTCTTTTGCCATGGTTCATTTAGGGCAGTAATGCTACATCAGCTTGATGAAAGCATGGAGAGAACATGCAATTTTCTCACACAACATGCATGACATGCAAGTAGATTCAAAACATGGTTACACACACACACACACACACACACACACACACACTCACAGTCAGACACCCTGACAGGCATTTGCACATTTTCCCAGTTAAACCATCAGCTTTTATTGCTAACATGTTGGAGGATGGATTTTTAACTGACTGACATTAATGGAACTGAAAGGAAGCCAAAGGCTTTTCAACCATTGTTCATTACACTGCTAGTGGTGTGTTTCCTCACTGTTAAATCTGTTACCACATTAGAGAGTTGAGAGAGGTAGGGGAGTGAAATGGCCAGACTAATGAAATAATAATCTGCAGGGAAGTTAGCATTTGTTTACTTTGAGACTTGAGGTCCATTTATAGTTTCTTATAGAAACTTTAACACCTCTAAACATACAAGGGTATGTACTCTGCCCCTCGTGTGCACTGAATTAGTTATAATGTTTTCTTCTCCTGGGACAAATACAGTCAAATTAAAATGAACCTGAAATAAGCGGTTTTGAAAATTGCTGTCAGTACCATCAGGAGACAATAGTTAGGGATTTTCTGTTTTAGTATAATCCATGCTGTATGTGTCCAATGCCTATTTAACTTTTCCCAGGTATCATTATTCCATGATTAAATATAGCTGGATTCTAGCTTATGGTGTCCTGCAAATGTATGAAACATCTAAAGTACCACACCAGAGCAACAACAGCTGTATGTACGAACACAACAGTGCCTGATGCGGAGGGTGATGTTTTACTTCACTCTCAGATGCACCAATGAAGTGATCATTTTCTCATCTTACTTGTGGATGACTCAAGCGTTGAGTGAATTTCTTCATTTCGTTCTCTTCACCCTTCAGCGAATGCTCCCATTCCATCTGCGACAGCTTCTGCACACCAGGACGAGGATACGCATAGCATGATATCATAGATTGACGGTATTTTATAGCACTCACAGCGTGTTAGGCAATATTACTGCCAGTGTGGGACAAGATTTGCTGGAAGTGTCGCTCTCCTTGTAGCAGAAAGGAGTGCTTTCTATTTTCTAAGTCACAATTTTCAGGATCTTACCAAAGCACGACGACTGGCTCGTAAACTAGATTGTTCATAAACTAGGCCAAATATTGAGGATAATGGAGATAGATGAATGTGACTGGTTTTGTCATTCCTTGTTAGTTTTATTTGTGGAGACAGTGGAGGAAATCATGTCTCTTATTCAATTTTATTTAACAATATCAAAATATGCTAAGGCATGAAAACTAGTTGGATCCTGTATAAGAGCATCAACTATTGACTTAAAATCTTTCCAGCTATTCAATTACATGTGATGTCTCTTCCGTTCTCCTGTTATTGATCCAAAGTCCTGCGTTTTCCATCATGCCTTGAAGGATCTGAATCAAGTATGCAAATAAGCTAAAACATTGTCTTGTGTCTTTGTTTTGCAGCTTTTAGCTTAGCAACCAAAATTAATTGTCTTTCTTACTGCTTCAAAATTAGGAGACAATGTGGATTGTAGACATAGGGAGCTGTTTGTTCACCAGTGTTTGTGAGTAATATCTTGGTAATGATATTTTACTTTCACACATGATCCAATTCTTCTCACTACTTGACCACACATCCACACATGACCGCAACTTGGCTCTGTACACTGACTGACCTAGATACACTGCAGAATGAAAGAACACGGTGAAGGGAGCAAGGATGAAATTGCGACTCTGGAGTGGGTTTAACTTAAAACTGCAATTGTAGGAGTGCTGTCTGTAGACATGTGGATACCGCCAGGATGAACAGGTGCCCCAAATGCTTTTCAGATGGAGATGACTTGGCAGAGGTGTTGCAACCCACACTGACTGAACCACACTAAGACGGGGTGAATTCTCAAGTGGAAAACATGCCTTTATGTTCTGTTTTGTGGCTCAGACCACTTGCACATCAATATTGTAAATACACAGTGGAAACGCTAATGTTGATATTACTGTAAGCAACTGGCCACATCTACTCGATAGTTGACAATGTGCTAGTAGTGCATAGTAGTGGAAGGATTATGTAACATGAGCAGAGGGAGTTTTATGGTTGATGATAGCAGAACGTGGTTTGTTAGTCTTTCCACTGGGAGCATAACTATATCCTTCCACTCTCTCAATCTTTCTCTGGGGCCCATCCACCCCTCCACTCCTGTCATTAATTTCTAATGAAAACAGATGGGTGAGCTGAGGTGTTCACCTGCTTGCTGTGAAGATGTGAGCAGAGATGTCTGTTTTTCTTAAGGATGCATGCACAGAAGCGCCTTGATTGTGTTGATGTATCGAAAATATAAATGCACAAGTACAGACATGTCGTTCTATCGGTTACATGTGCAGAAAGACATGTACACATACACACAGCTGGCTTTGTGATAAACTGATTTATTGACCACAATTGCTGGTGACCCTGAAAATTTAATCACTCGCTATATGAATCCAAGGAAGATGCTAACAAGTGATATGTCAGAACTCCGGTTTATCAAGAAATGCCAATAAAATGTTCAGTGGAATGATTTAGTTGATATGCACAGCCTGTTTGAGGGTCTAGATCATTATTTACCATATGAAAGTCTCTGTGATGTTATGCTGCTCTAATGTTAAACATGTCAGGCTTATATCATCAAATGCACCAGATTGTAGTGCATTTTTTCCACTCCTGCTCACATGTGTGCACCATGAATAATGCTGTGATGCATGTGTGATCATGTGTGTGCTGTATGTAGGGCGAATGTTGCTAAGAGAGAGTCCTGAATTTTTTATGCGAGCCTAAAACAGCTCTGGCGAAGTTCATAGTCACTCAGCACAAGGAGGGAACATCTTCTCTCACCAACCGGCGCTTTGTGTGTGTGTTTGTGTCCTAGCATGTGTGTGCTGTTGGTAAATATGTGAGTGGTAAGGAACAGGAAAGAAAACACAGTAATATTAATTAAAATGATTAGATTTAACATGTAGTAGGCCTATAGATATAGTAAAATACTGAGGTTTTCTCTACATTCACCTCATCCTCAGAAAGTCTCTTCCAACTTTATTCAGTCAGTAAAATAAATTTTAAGATGAGCATAAAGGCCACAGACACAGTTAACAGCCTCCCACCTGAGATTTTGTCATATACCAGACACACAGCTTTACAACCTCACCTATTCACATTTTCCCTCAGAAATGGCACAGCATTTTGGCTTTTTTGGATTGGAAATGTTCTGTTGCTTCCCCAACCACATAAAACTGACAGAGCTTCTCAAACAGTGCAGCAAAAATGTTCATCTCCGGCAGTTATTTGGCTTGAAATGTAATAATTTAACGCTCCACAAGTTTCAAAATTGCAGCTTTACTTCTCAGGGAGCACTTAAAGGCACTTGCATAAAAAAAAAAAAAAATGTATTTGCCCTACAACAATGGAAGTTTGCCTTGTAGTTTCTAAATAAATATTAGTTTTCCATATAAAATAAAATAGTTAAGATTACATTCTTTGCAGTAAACTGTAACTACTGGAGTCTGATCTTCCTCTGTGGTGTACTATCTGACAGCTGAGGCACCAGCCCACTCTTATTTACATCTGAGCTGCCGACGGGCATCCAGTAATTGTTCTTCCAGCAGCCAGTTTGGCTTCTGTCTCTGTGTAGAGCCATTAATCCTGTACTGTATGTGTATTTTCTCTTCTGTTTCCCATTGAGCACATGCAACATTGTATCACACTGTTTTTGTTATCTTCACTCGATACGGGAGAGTAGTGTTTTAAATTCTGATGCTTACATAAATGTCAATATTGTGCATCGTTGAAATAATTGGTCCCTGGTGAAACTTGGTGTTTTCTGCAGATGACAATGACGCAAAAATAATGTATGAGTCTGTGGTTCTTATTGTTCTTGAACATTTCACTACTTTGCAGTATGTAAGCACACTAATTGTGGGTGTTATGGCCAAACAATATCAGACAGTGGAATATAAAACCTCACCTAAAGTTTAATTATTGTCACTTTATGTCATGTTTAGGTAGCTATTTGCCCTGCATAGAACTAACATTTTTTTTGCAGTGGTTCCATCACAAAGTCTGATGATATGTGCTTCAAATCATCATCAATCAACATGAATGAATCATAAAATTGGTTTCATGTCATATTACCAAATACTACATTACTTGTCATAGTTATAACTTTTGCTACAATCAAGTTTCCTATGTGGAAACATTTTCCAATGTTTATGCACCAACTACCAAATAATCCCAAAATAGCTTTTGCATAAAACATAAACCTATAACAGGAATTGCCCTCTGAGGATAATAATCAAATCAAAAAGATTATTAACATGTCTTTACCAGCTTTCTTTCTTATAATGTTGGCATTTCCTCTGTGTTTTTAGCTTCAGGGAACTCTCTTTCACACTTTTGAAAAGGGTGTTGATGAAGCACTGTGAGATTTGAACCATTTCCCCTTAGTGTGACTTAGTAATGAAGTAATGAACAAACAGAAATAACAAACAGGGCAAATGTATTAATGCATGCTATTGATTTGTCAATTGATTAAGTGGTTGTGTACAAGAGATCATTTTGCAGGAACAAGACTGTCCCTCTCCTCTGCATCACTGCAACACAGCAGTAATACAGTATTGTTAGCCGATACAAAACTGTAGCCATTATTAATACACTGGGTCTTGGTTTAGACTACTACAAATTCAGCAGAGATCAATTTTCCATCTAGGCCTAATCTACATCTGTTAAACCTACCATATACCAGCCTACCCTCTTATCAATACAATTTCCCAACCATCC